CAGAGAAACCGTCTCAAAAAAAAAAAAAAAGTGAATCTCAAAAAAGAGAGAGATCCCTTTCGTTGAAATGCAATCCTTAGCCTTAGTTGGACTTCAGTTCTACATCTCTGTTCTGATCAACTGCATCACACAGCTCTGCAGGGGGGTAAGTTTACACTGAGACAAACAGCCATAAAAAGGCATTGCTGAATAATGTATTTTGAAATCAGGATAGCCAGAGTTTGTTAATAGAGTCACTTCCTTGGGAAAGTCAGTAAAAGTAAACACCAAATTCACCAAGTTGAAATGAAGAGGCTTCTCAAGGGAATGTGACCTTGAGAACATCAATGTCATGTTTATCTAACATGTTAGGATCGTGGTACAGTGCTTGCTTAGCATGTACTAGATCCTGGGTTGTATCCCTAAGAAGCAAAAAAACAAAAACAAAAACAACAACAACAAAAAAAAACCCAAAAAACAAGGAGCTGTGAGTATAGCATTACTCAGAAGAATATATTTTATGAATCTAAACAAAAATAAACAATAAACAAACAAAAAACCCAAGCAGTTGTCTTCTCCTAGGTGCTGGAAAATGATTCAATTAACATAAGCAGTAGAATTTGCAAGCTTCTGGACCAGAGACATTTTGTATCACTTTTGCCAGTTTGGAAAGCAATCCCAGGAAGATCTCAACTGTCACTTATGTGGCTTAAGAATATTTATGTTTCACAAATGGCCATTAAATATTTTAAAGAGTGCTCACCATCCTTATCCACCAGGAAGTGCAAAGTAAAGCCCAGTTAGAATTACTGTCATTAAAAAACAAAACAAAGCAAAATGAAACATGGTATTCAGTAGTACATATACTAAAATTGGTACAATACAGTGAAGATTGGAATGGCTCTGCACAAGGATTACACACAAATTCATGAATTGGTCCACATTAAAATACAATAACAAAAACCTAAACAAAGGCCACTATGATCATGACCAGGGAAATTACTGCTAATTACTGCCAAGCCTGATGACCTGGGACCCACATTCCAGGAATCTATTCCCACAAATTGTCTTGTGGCCTCTACCCCTGCTGTGGGTCCCCCCCCCCTTTTTTTTCCGAGACAAGGTTTCTCGGTGTAGCTTTGGAGCCTATCCTGGCACTCGATCTGGAGACCAGGCTGGCCTAGAACTCTGCCTGCCTCTGCCTCCAGAGTGCTGGGACTAAAGGCTTGCACCACCAACGCCTGGCTCTTTTGTTTCTTTTAATGCAGATCCTTTTGTGTGCATCTGCCTGCATGTATAGATGTAAATCACATAAATCACATGGGTGCCTGAGGAGACTGGAAGAGGGCATGGAATCCTTCAGAATTGGAGCTATTTCCAGTCATGAGCTCCAGTGTGGGTGCTAGAAACTGAACCTGGTCCTCTGACACTGTGAGAGACAAAGTTACATTTTAAGTTTTAGTTACTAACCCTAAGAGATCCATGAAACAAACAAACAAACAAACAAACAAACAAACAAAAAAGTGTCTCTGCTCTGTAAGCCCCTTGAAATGCTGGAGACTATTGTTAACAAACCACTTGTTTTCACTCCCCTGAACAAATTTGTTTGACCCATCTTCACTGGACGTGCTTGGTCACATGTGAGCAGGATGTTCACAGGCAGGAAATAAATCAGGATGTACTCTTGCCCCTGATTGGATATAGGCTGGTATGTCAGAATGTATGCCTCCCCGGAATTGGACCTGATGGGAAATACTGCTGCAAACTGTGACTTAGGGCCATCTTCTGGAAACCCAGAGATGGACCTGGCCAGAGCCCAACCACCTGGCCAGTATTTAATTAAAGCTTGCTTGAAATTTGTGGTAGTGGTCTTATTCTCCATCAGTGGGATTAACAAGAACTCCTTCTTTTGTCCCTTCTAAAAATTGTGTAGATGGTGGTAGGTACAATGTAGCCAGGTAGAAATGAGTAGGGAATGAGAACAGAGTGAGTCTAGAGGCACCACAACATGACAGACTGGGCAGAAATCCCTGAGGCAGTACAGGTAACGTCCACTTCTTTTCCTCCCAAGTGAAAGCAAATTGGCTTTTTAAGTTTTAATCTCAGCACTTGAAAAGCAGAAGGCAAAAGGACATGACCCAAGTTCAGGGGAAAAATTGGGTGATTTTTCTGAGTCTGGGTATCATCTCAGTTTTTTTTTTTTGAATGTGTGTAACGACATTTTTTTTTAAAACATTTTATTTATTATGTATACAATGTTCTGCCTGATGTATGCCTGTAGGCCGGAAAAGGGCAACAGATCTCATTATAGATGGCTGTGAGCCACCATGTGGTTGCTGGGAATTGAACTCAGGACCTCTGGAAGAACAGTCAGTGGTTGTTATGATAAATCTTTCCGCCAAAAGCTGCCTGAGCCCTACCGCCACGTGGGTGGTCTCCGCCAGCCGCCTGAGTTCTATCTGCCACGTGGATGGGCAAAATAATACAGAGACTTATATCAGGTACAAATGCTGCTTGGCCAATGACTAGGATTCTCATCTGTTAGCTCAGTCTTAATTATCTTAAATCTATATATTTTATAAGACTTATCAGACACCTTCCATTGGCGTCCTCCCTTGTCGTTGGATCACATGGCGAATCTGGAGGAAGAGAGGAGGGGGAAAGGGGCCACTTCCTGCTTGTCCTTCTTTAAATATGAGTCTCCCTGCTATGTCACTTCCTGCCTTGATCACTACTTCTTTACTACATTTCCCAGAATCCTCTGCCTAACATGCTGCCTCATTGGCCAAACAGTACTTTATTCAACAATCAATAAGATGAACATACACAGAAGTACATTCCCCATCAAGTGCTCTTAACCTCAGAGCCATCTCTCCAGTCCTCATCTCAGTTTTTATAGTTGTCCTGGTTAGTATTTGTTTGGTTTTGCCAACTTGACACAAGTTAGTGTTACATGAGAAGAACTTTGAGAAAATGCCTTCATCATATTGGGCTGTTGGGAAATTTGTAAGGCATTTTCTTGACTAAGGATTGATATGAGGGTCCAGCCTACTAGGGATGGTGCCACTCCTGGGCAGGTACCACTCCTGGGCAGGTGGTTCTGAGTTGTATAAGAAAGGCTGGAGAGATGGCTCAATGGTTAAGCACATTGGCTACTCTTCCAGAGAAGAGTTTGGCTCCTAACACTCATATGGCCACTCACAACTGACTGTAACATTAGTTCTAGAGGACTGGATGCCACCTTAGGCTACTGCTGGCATTGCATGCACATGGCACCCAGGCATATATGCAAGCAAAATACCCATACATATAAAAAGAGAAAGCTGAATAAGTTGTGAAGATCAATCCAGTAAGCAGTGTTTCTCCATGGTCTCGGCTTGAGTTCCTGTCCTGACTTTACTTTTTTTTTTTTAGACTTTTTGTTTATTATTATGTATACAGTTTGTGGTCTGCATGTATGCCTTCAGGTCAGAAGAGGGCCCCAGATCTCATTACGGATGGTTGTGAGCCACCATATGAGTGCTGGGAATTGAACTCAGGACCTCTGGAAGAGCAGTCAGTGCTCTTAACCTCTCCAGCCCCCTGACTTTACTTCTTGATGGACTGTGATCAGGATATGAAAGTCAAATAAACCCTTTCTTCCCCAAGTTACTTTTGGCACTAACTCCCAATACCACCTTGACTACTCAAATCTGAGTCTAACATCCCATAGAAGTATTAAATGTCTTTCCTATTTTTCCATCCCCAGACTGTTCTCAGAGTGGGAAGTTTACCACCAAATATAGAGTGGCAGGAGACAATCCTCCTACTTGCTAGGTGTAACAATGTTTTGTTTGAGACAGGGTCTCAGCATGTAGCCCTGGCTGGCCTAGAGTGTACTTGGGATCATCCTGAAGGCAGAGGTTCTGTGCTGAATAAAAACGAATCGGTGTGGCAGAATGTACTCACGGCTCTCTGTTCCTGACTGCGGATACAGTGTGATCTGCTGCCTCACATGCCTAGTGGCCCAACTAGAACTGCTCTACTCACCACACTTTCCTCTCCATATGGAAGGCATTCTCAGACTGTGAACTCCTCTCTCTCTCTCTCTCTCTCTCTGTGTGTGTGTGTGTGTGTGTGTGTGTGTGTGTGTGTGTGTTGTGTTTCCCTGTGAGGGGTCACATCTTACAGGGAAAGTATATGGGTGAGGAAAGAATGAAACTTGGTTCAGCTCGACTTAGCCAGGCTGGGCCAAACTTCTGGAGTCTGAACCAGGCAGTTTATTTATTGGTTTTTCCAGACAAGGTTTCTCAGTGTAGCCTTGGCTGTCCTGGAACTGGCTCTGTAGAACATTCTGGCCTTGATCTCACAGAGATCCTCCTGCCTCTACCTCCTGAGTGCTGGGATTAAAGGTGTGCGCCACCACTGCCCGGCTGGTCCTTATTTTTCAGAGGACTTGTGTCTCTTTCTGTTGTGCCTCTCCCTATATCCCAGTCCAAGGAAATTTGCATGAACTGAGCAAACCCTTTCTCTGAGGTCATCTTGAGGCTGCACCCTTTGCCAGTTGTCTCTGCTCAAATCCATGTCTATATTGCCCAAACAAAGGCACAAGTGTTGGTTCCAGGTCTAGCTAGTATCTGTCTGTGTCTCTCTTGCTTTTCCTTCTCAACAGTCTCACTAAATAGCCCTTGGCTGGACTGGAACTCACTATGCAGACCGGTCTGGCCTCAAATTTATAGAGATCTGCCTACCTTGGCATCCTAGGATTAAAAGGCTTGCACCACCATTCCAAGTTGTCTGTGTTCTCTGAAGAGGCTTAGGGGAGGTGGTCTCAGTAGGCTGGCTTCAAATTCCTGAGCTGAAGGGAATTTTTCTGCCATGACCTCCTGAGTAGCTCAGTCTGTGTAACCTATTGTCTTAAGCACCAATACGTCCCAGCTATGAAAGGACAGTAGTAAAAGATTTTGCAACTCTGCCTCACAACCAAATTAAAAACTCCAGACAGTGTTTAACAGAAAATTAATAGTCATAAAAATATAATATACAGTTAAATGCATTTAATAGAAATATCAATCATTATAGTTCCTTATTGCTGGTCACAAAAAAGCATGTATGTCTTTTGTAATCAAAGTAATTTTTACCATGCAAAAGGCATTTTTATTATATTCATATGAACAGACTAGATTTCAAAACAAGTTTATACAGACTTCAAAAGGTATAGTAGGCCCAAAGAAAAAGTGGAATTTATTTAAATATTACTAAAATTACATCAAATGCCACTTGGCATACTCATATTCACAGTTTATGAAGTTAAAAAAAACTCAACTTGTAAAGTCAGCTGTGAGATAGATGCATTTAATCAATACATTCACTAGTTAGGTCTGTCCTAACACAGGAGGAGCGAACACTGAGAGAAAATAGCTTTTAGAGAACAAACTCAACGTGTCAGCAGCAAATTTCAGCTCAACCAGGTTGGAAAGCAATATTCACAGTGACTGAGTACAGAGTCAGGTTTCTAGCTGAGACTGAAAATCAAAGAAGAAACCGTAAGCTTCGTAACTCCAGAGAGCACTATGTGGTTATTTACTAACAATTATATATTAAAATATAATACCCAAATTTGATTTAAGAGCACAATTTTAATCTAATCAATAGACATAAAGGCAAGTAACACTCCCCCAGCTAGGCTTATTCATCACCAGTGAGCCTGAGCCCCCTGGGGGTCATGCTTAGGGAACAAGCCTACCTGAACAACACTGGGAGCACCAGGGTCATGTGTAGATTTAATGCTGAGTTAAGACAGTCACTGTTCTGAGATGCAGGGAATTCTCAAAATAGGCTCATGGCTTGGGAGTAATGGCAGCATAGCACACTAAGAGCCTGGAGACACCATGGAAACACATCAGCTGAGAGGGGGGGCCCATCTACTCAATGTCAGGGTCACATTGCCAGTACCAGGGTAAGTTTTGAAATAACAAATGGGGGGCGGGGGTTATTGTAAAGCAATTGACTAAATTGCAATTTAACTTAGCCTCATAATTAACTGTAGCATATTTACTTCATAATCCCTTAACAAACATGTCAACCTTACCCAGAAAGCATTTCCTTAATCTTGAAACATTATTTTAAAAGCTTCAGTTCCCCAGTTGATATGGTACCAAAATTCAGTTCAATTTTAAAATTCACAGTACTACTTAGAAATGAGTGGCTCCCAGGGTTCCAGAGTGCAGGAATGAACAATTTTCTCTGTGCATGGGAGATCACAGAGACTGAGGCCACGGTGCTGAGTTAGAGGGCTGTGAATGACTGGTACCATTTCTTCAAGTTGTTGTCCTTTTTCTAAAAGTTGAGATTCTAAATACATCTGTTTTACATATATACAATCATTAGAGGATGTTAACAGGTATGAATACTTCCTGATCAAATAATGATAGCCATTTTTTCCCCAAAATGAATTCTGTTGAGTTTCCATCAACCTATCGAAGTCCAGACCAACTATGCAGATAGGATGCCCATCCAGAAGAACGGGAAGCACTTTCTTCCTCACCTTTGAAAGATTAAAAAAAAGGAATTATTAAATCAAATAAGTATGAAATATAAATATGGAATCACTGCACTACATAGGGAAATAATGTCTATTTCATTGGTTATGGCACTATAAAAACACATTATTATATTCAGAATTATTATTCTGAATTTCTAAGCATGGTATTGGATGGAGCCCAGTGTGATGACAGATACCTGAACAATACCACTATTGAATTTAGCAGAGCTTTTTTTTCTAACTTATGTGAATAGAAGCAGATGACTTCTTTTTTAATCCTATTTGAAATCCTTGGGGTTTAAACCTTAAATCAATCTTAGAAAAACCTCTTTTTTGGGGGGGAGGGGTTGAGACAGGGTTTCTCTGTGGCTTTGGAGGCTGTCCTGGAACTAGCACTTGTAGACCAGGCTAGTCCCAAACTCACAGATATCTGCCTGCCTCTGCCTCCCGAGTGCTGGGACTAAAGGAGTGTGCCACCACTGCCCAATTAGAAAACCCTTTTTACTATCTCTGTCTTATTCTTTTTTTTCTACTCCTTTTAGAATTTATCATCATTATTTTATGTGTATGAGTATTCATTTGCAAACATGCCTGTCCAACACCTGCATGGCGTGGCACCTGTGGAGGCCAGAAGAGGGCGTTGGGTTCCCTGGTAGAGTCACAACTGGTATGGAGCTGCCCTGTCATTGCTGGGAACTGAACCAGGTCCTCTGAAAGAACAGTCAGTGCTTTTAACCACTGAGTCATCTTTTAGCTCCTTGAACTTTACTGTTGTTAAATGATGCCATTTATTAAGTGTTTATGCCAAAATACACACATAATTTCAGACTAACCCAGGTCCAACTGCCAAACCACAATCTCCTCTTCAATTCTCTTCTCCAGAGAGAAGCTGCTTCTTTCAGATTTCCCTTTCTAATCTAGAAGACTTGTCACAAGCCCTTGGGGCCAGTGCAAAGCACTTTGCTTTTTTCTGCTTTTCTTCAGTGTTTTGAGGCAGGCTTTCTTTGTTTAACAGCTCTAGCTGTCCTGGTCTTAGTCCTGTAGATTAGGCTGGTCTCGAAATCATAGCGATCCACCTGTCTCTGCCTCCTGAGTGTTGGGATTAAAGGCGTGCGCCACTACCACCTGGTGTAAAACACTTGTTTTATTTGGTCATTAGGTATCTTTTTCCAGGTCTGAAAAATTTTCCCAACTCATCTGAAAGCATTTTTCCCACAAGAAAGTTCACTTTACAGTAAAAAAACAACATCCCCCCCCCAAAAAAAATCCACAAGTTCTCATGTGTCTTAGACTGGCCAGCTGAAGATGACCTTGAATTCCTGAACCTCCTCAATCAACTCCTAAGTGCTGGGATTGGAGTTATGTATCACCTATTTTAGGCACCAGGGCCTCCTGCATGCTAAGCAAACATTCTACTGAGCTACATCGCCAGCCCCTTGTCTTAAAACTCTGAGGCAAAACAGATGGACAGGCCGGTCTACATAGGACAGGACTTCAACTCAACATGTGTCCAGTGCTTTCTTCCCCAACTTTTCTTGGTCTTTCGTCTGTTTCTTATACTCAGTTCTACTTGATCCCTTCTTGTGTCCTGGGTCACTCATTCTGTCAACTATACCTGTGTCTGTGATTAATCCATCACATTTTTTTTGGGGGGGGGGGTTCGAGACAGGGTTTCTCTGTGAGCTTTGGAGCCTATCCTGTCACTCGCTCTAGAGACCAGGCTGGCCTCGAACTCACAGAGATCCGCCTGCCTCTGCCTCCCAAGTGTGGGGACTAAAGGCGTGGGCCACCAACGCCCGGCTATCCATAACATTTTTTAATTTTGTGGGTTCTCATCTCCTATGTCAGTGAGATAAGCAGCCAACAATCCTTTTTTTGGAAAGGGGTGGGTGTTCAGATAGGGTTTCTCTGGGTTAAGTCCTAGAACTTATTTTGTAGACCAGGCTGGCCTTGAACTCACAGAAATCTGCCTGCCTCTGCCTCCTGAGTGCTGGGATTAAAGATTTGTGCCCCACCACTGCCTGGCAGCAGCAAACAATCTTAAGAAACTTAGGAAACCCTTTAAAATAAATTAAACTTTAAGGTTTACATTTATGGGCTGGTGAGATGGCTCAGTGGGTACAAGAGCTTGCCCTACAAGCCTGATGACCTGAGTTCAATTCCTGGGACATAGCACAGAGGGAGAGAACTAACTCCCCAACATTGTTCTTCACATGCATTGTGTGGCCTGTATGTGCCTGCATATGCACAAGGACCTTTATGCAAACTTACACATTAAGTGGGTTTGAATATAAATCTTAACCACAGGCTCCTGTGTTTGAACCCTTGGTCTCCAGCTGGTGGCTGTTTGGGGAGGTTAAGGAACCTATAAGAGGTCTTGCTGGAGGAAGCGGTTTTATAGCCTGTCTGAGGTTTTATAGCCTGGACCCACTGCCTGCTCTGCCCTCCTGCTTCCCAATGCCAGGCTAGCCTCATGATCCTGCTGTCATGTCTTCCCTGCTGTGACTGACTGTTCCTCCTGGAACGTAAGCCAAAAGAGACCTTTTCTTTTTTCTTGGTTTTTGATCATGGTATATTATTATAGCAATTGAGAGGATTAATATTCAAAAGAACTAATACAATAATAAAGAAATAAAATTTAAGTTTAAGAAGCGTTTTCCTGTTCATTCACAGATTTAGAAACACGTGCCTTTGTTCTAAGACCTCCCATGCATATTATGAAATTATTAAAAACTCTAAAACCTCTGCCATTAGTGCCTTTCAAATTTGTTAATCAATGTTGAAGGCACAAGCTCACAGATATTCACCAGAGAAATCAGGAATGTTAAGCACATAGGCTTGTCTCTTTTGCATACAAGTGCTGGTCACCAGCACTATCTGTTATCCACCCAGAAGGCTGGAAGTGGATGTTGTTAATAACCTGGTGACCTTTATTTTGAGCTTTCTCAGTCAGAAGAACCCATTCTTAGGAGAGATGTCACAAGTATCTTACTTATAGCCTGATGACTTTACACTATCTTGGTCAGAGATCACACCAGATCCTAGGCCCTTAAGCTACAGAATCCATTTTTATGGTGGAGGTCACATGTATTTTTGTGCACATAGGAGTGAGATAACGGTTACCAGGAAGCGTTTTTCCAAAATTGTACTGTACTTAAATATGTCTGAAATAAACTGCCTGGAGTCAGACTCCAAGAGTTTGAACCAGCCTGGCTGACTCAGGTACGCTGGACTGAGTTTCCTTCTTGCCTCTTGTGTGCCATTGGTGAAGCTTGGAGGGACCCCTACATATCAAGAGATTCAAAACTTAAAATGGGGAGATACTGAGTATAACATTTTACATTAAGCATACTGGATAAACAACTGACAATGTATTATTGTTTTATTAAAATCTATATTTGAATAGAAGGAAACACATTTCATTCCTGAAGTATTGATAAATTTTAAAATGAAGCATAGTGGTGCACACCTTTAATTATGCAGAGGGGTGTGGGTAGGGGGAGGCAGACAGGTCTCTGAGTTTGAGGCCAGACTATAGAGCGAGTTCCAGGATAGCCAGGGCTACAGAAAGAAACCCTGTCTCAAAAAACAAAACTCAAAAATTTTATAATGAAAAGTAGGTTTAGTTGGAGAGAATAAATTAAAACAGTACATAAAAGCAATTAAAGATAATTATTTAGGGGCTGGAGAGATGGCTCAGAGGTTAAGAGCACCGGTTGTTCTTCCAGAGGTCCTGAGTTCAATTCCCAGCAACCACATGGTGGCTCACAACCATCCATAATGAGATCTGGTGCCCTCTTTGGGTGTGGAGATATACATGGAAGCAGAATAATGTTGTATACATAATAAATAAATAAAATCTTTAAAAAAAGATAATTATTTAAAATACATATGATATGGCTGGCAACATGGCTCAGTAGATAAAGGTGCCTGCTGCCAAGCCTAGGATCGGAGTTACTGTCTATCAGGAACTGACACGGTGGAAGGACAGAACCACCACTGCCCAGCTTCAATTTCCATAAACTGTTTTCTGACCTCCACGTGTGTGCCATAGCAAGCATGCACTGAGCACATACCACAGATATACATAATAAACAAACAAATTATTTTTATTTTTTATTTATGTGCATTGGTGTTTTGCCTGCATGTATATCTGCATGAGGGTATTGGGTACCCTGGAACTTTCATGTACCCGTGTGGCTGTGAGCTTCCATGTGGGTGCTGGGAATTGAACCCTGGTCCTTTGGAAGAACAGCTGGTGCTCTTAACTGCTGAGCCATCTCTCCAGCCCCAGTGAATGGTATATTCTTATACTGAGTATTTTGTTGTTGTTTGAGATAGGGTCTGGCTACATAGCCCTTGTGGTTTGGTATTTATTCTGCAGCCCAGGGAAAACTTGAACTCTTGGCATGGCCCTGCCTCAGCCTTTTGAATGGTGAGGTTATAGGTACCTAGGACCATGCCTTGCTTCATTTGGTTACTGTTAATCGTGGCTATTCAACTTTTCAACTTGCACTGTAGTAAGCAGAAGTGAGAGTTTTGTAAGGACTGAGACCATTCTTCATTAGGAAGACATGCTGCATGAAAACAGATTTAAAGGAACCACCACCAATACTCATTATGAAGTAATCCCGTCAAACATTGACCATGAATCTCATCAATCCTAGATCCACATCTCCTGAGGCACAGCCCCAGCATGTTAAAAATGTAAAATGTCTGGTGAGAGCCAAAAGGTAAATCTTACTAAGTATACCAAGTAACTGAATTCCAAGGGTTTGAATCACATTTCTTTTTCCTTCCTTCCTTCCTTCCTTCCTTCCTTCCTTCCTTCCTTCCTTCCTTTTATATATATGAGAGCTACAGATGGTTTTGAGCCACCATGTGGTGGCTAGGAATTGAACTCAGGAACTCTGGAAGAGAAGTCAGTGTTCTTAACCACCACGCCATCATTCCAGCCCCCTCAAGGGCTATTCTAAATGTATTAGTTTATTCAGGAAGTATAAGGGATAGAGGAACATGTTAAAGAGAATTCAGATGAGAACATCAGTCACAAGTTGGTATCTATATATTCTGGGCTTAGTATTGCAATTTCATGCACAGTAAGTACACAGTGATGTGAACTGATGTGAACATTATATTCCACTACAGGACAGTATTAACTCTGCATGCACGTGAAAAGTGGACTGCTAGCCACAGACGAAGTATTGGGTCACACGACCATTGTCCCTTTACTGTTTGGGAGTGGGAGTAGGGTAAGGGGAGGTGAGCAATGAGAAAACCATCACACACACACACACACACACACACACACACCCCAAAACACATCCAACTCATCACCAGGATAGAAATGTATTTCAGAGATGGAAAGTCAAGCTAAGCATTATAATGTATTTTACAAAGTATTGAACTCATTGATGTATTACAACTGCCTCAAATGTTAAAAAGCTAGCTTTTCAAAGTCTAGTTACATGTGTGACAAAACTAATCAAAGTAAACAATTTAAATAGAAAAAAATTGCACACACACATCAATTCTTAAGCTAGACCAATGGTTAGCACAAATGGTCCCACACCAGTGACTGCCTCCTGCCACATACCTTGAGCCACCGTGGCAAGCTTTCCCTTTTCTTCAGGGCTCAGCTGCAGCATTGTGTCTATAACAGGAAGAAGCCTCTCTCTTTCACTACCGGGCTTCAGGAAAATGAACCGCAGCAAGACATTCTTCAAGTACTCCAGGTTAGCTACAGACTTCTCTCGCTCCTGATTTCTTTCCAGTCTTCTTATTTCACTTTTGAGAAGCTAGAGTTAGAGAGATCAGTTTATCAGTGGGTTTGGGAACTTTTGGTTGAATACAATAAACTGAACACAAACATACTCATTTTTCTCCCTGAGCAATTCCCTACCTCATGAAAATAAAAGTGGAGTTGAGAGGGAAGAAAAGAGTGAGAACTATTAACAAACTCCAAGAAGACAGGGGAGAGATGAACAAAGAAAATGATTAGCCTGACAATTTTCCACATACCACCAAGAAGAGCAGGCAGGTGCATCCAATGGAAACAGAGAAATCCTGCCTCAGAAGCACAGGAATCCCAGAAATGCTGAAAACTGGGGAGTGATGGGAAGAACTACGTCAGCAACTAGAACCATAGGCTGGTACAAGTACACTTCTGCCTTCTACTTGGGGCATGAGCTGATGTGAGCAGGGGGAGTCTGGAAGCAGGTGGGGAGGCAGACACCTGCAGCCTCTGTTGATCCTTCACCTGCCCTGCTTGCAGAGCCAGGCTCTCAGGATGCCCAGAGCAAACAGCACTTTAGCAAGACAAGCTCAGCTCAGGAACACCAAGGAACACCAGACTACGTCTCACCATGTAGCTGCAGCTAACCTGGAATTCTGGAATTTGTTCTGTAGAGCAGGCTGGCCTTAAAATCAGAGATCTGCCTACTCTGACTCCCAAGTGCTGGGATTAAAGGTTTGTGTCCCTATGTCTGGCTCAGTTTCTTTTTTTCAAAGGTCCTTATGAAGATTATATAAAAGTAACCTGCAGGCCTTGGATTATTATTCTGAGGGGAAGGAAATATCTCATTTGACAGTTACAAGCTGTCCTACACATTTGTAACCTCAGCATTCAGGAGGTAGAGGCAGAATAACCAGATATTCAAGGTTATCCTTGGGTACGTAACAAATTCAAGGCCAGCCCTGGGTTTGTCTCAAGAAATAGGAGGAGGAGAGGAAGAGAGACAGGGAGAGAGGGAAAAGTGGAGGGAAAAAAAAGGGAAAAGAAGGAAAGAGGGAGTGGAGAGGAAAGAGAGGGAAGGTAGGAGGAAGGGGGTGCCTTGCATTATTGGTGCTCTGCTATTTATCCTTAGGACTCAAGGACTATACTCATGTTTTACTTAAGTATATGAGGAACAATGACTTGTCAATGTCTACCCAGTTGCTATACTTAAGCTTTCTTAGAAAAAGTAGTAATTATCTAGGCAGTGGTGGCGCCCACCTTCAATCCCAGCACTCGGGAGGCCGGGGCAGGCAGATCTCTGTGAGTTTGAGGCCAGCCTGGTCTCCAGAGCGAGTGCCAGATCAGGCTCCAAGCTACACAGAGAAACCCTGTCTCAAAAAAACAAAAACAAAAACAAAACCCTGTATCTGTTTAACAAATATAAAAGCAATAGTATCATGAGGAATCTAATATAAAGAATCCAGATACTATGGATACATCTGAAATGTGAACTTGTAAAATGAGGCAATTTACACAAAGGGTTAGAAAAGTAACTGTCTCAGGGCGTGGCAGGGCAGCTAGGCTCCGCCCCCACCTTGATTTGCTCCATTAGGATGGCGTTGGTGGCCTCTGTCTCCCGAAGCAGTCCATTTAGGTGATCTGCACTCTTTGTGGTGGAGCTGAGCTTCTCAGCCAATTCTTCTTTGGTAAATTCAGCATGCCATAAAGAGGGTTCTGCAAGATGCTGTTCTAAAAGTTAATTTTCACAATCAGAGATTACAGACTCCAGATAAAAAATTAAATATCTTACTTTATAACACATAAATCTACTCTTTGTTATTCATCTATGATACACCTCAGCTCCAAAGTTTCTAGTTGAATGTAGTGCACAAATAAGACTGAATTTCTGTCGCAGTATGAACAGTTAGGCTCTATAAGCCCCTCACAGTTTATGCTTTTTATATATTTTACATATTTTGGTGATGATGGGGAGTCTAATCCAAGACCTCACATATGTTAGGGAGCACTGGATTCCCAGTGTGAGGTAGTACTGGAGGTGGGGCCTAGTGGAATAAAGTTGGATCACAGGAGGCGTGCCTTTGGAAGGGATGCTAGAAGCCTGGCTCTTTCCTGTCCACTTACTGGCTGCTGTTGGTACTCCACCATGATGCTGTGTCTTGCCAGTGTCAAATTGCTAGAGTCAAGTGTCCCTGGCCTGAAATTATAAGCTAAGGCAAATTTTTCTTCTTAAGTTAACTTTCTTAAGGATTTTGTCACAGTAGCTGAATGGTGACTAACACAATATTGGATATAAACATGGTCCCAGAGCATTAGAAAGACGAGAAACCCCTTGAATTATGAACAGTAATATTCATTACAGGTAAGAACAAAAAGCATACCAAAACTATATTTATATATTTAGTACAGCATATTTATCAATACTTCACTGTAAGGAATAAACTGAAACTGTTAATTTCCTGGAGGGTGAGGCAATAGTTCATTTACTTTCTAATACAGGACTTCCCATCATCCACTTCTGGTTCAGTCCTATACCTGTGTTTAAGTTTTTAGTTTTTAAAGAGATCTGTTTCATACTATAGGCTCTTTTACTGGAACAGCTCAAAAAACATAAAAATTAGAGTAGTGTTTATCAAACAAGACAGCTAAGTTAAACCACTCACACTAAGCAACCTACCAAGCTTGGTGTCAGGAGAACTAAGCAGCTGTTCTAAAGATGGAATGTGTGTGCCAGCCGAAGACACAGACTCGCTGTCAGTTGTCTCCATTCCTTCTCCCTCCTCTCGGGCCACAGTGTGCATGTCCAGAAGCGGGAGGTCTGTGTTTCTTCTTTCTCGAGGGTTTTTCAAAGGTTGGTGGGAAGAAGCAGGGCCTATTAAATATTTTTAAAGGGTAAGTGAAATTGTTAAAGACCGATGGATTTGACCCTAACAAGATAGCTGGGCGGTGGTGGCACACGCCTTTAATCCCAGCACTCAAGAGGCAGAGGCAGGTAGATCTCTGTGAGTTTGAAACTAGCCTGGTCTACAAGAGCTAGTTCTAGGACAGCCTCCAAAGCCACAGAGAAACCCTGTCTTGAAACACTGAAAAGTAAAAAATTAAAAAGAAAAAAATTAAAGACAGCCTTGAGTGTGTCAAATGTTAACAAATTAAACAAATGGTGTCTGAAGAAAGGATGCTAAATAGTTACAAACATTTAGTCACTTTACATTGAGCTATGCTAGTTATCCAACAGAAACAAACCATCCATAGGTACTTGCTGGACAACCGTACTTCCCTCTGCTTCTGGGTTGGCGGTCTCCATCACTGCCCTGTCACTTGGTTGGTGCTGAAGTGTTGCCTGCTCACATCTACAGTGTTCAGACAACAGAGCCCAGACCTCAGTTATAGTTCATAGAATTCTTGGGCCTTTCATCCTAACATTTGGTTTACATATTGAGTCACAGGCCAGCCACCGTTACATGGTATGATTTTGTCTCAAAAAAGGAAGAAAGGATTTCTTGCTTGCTTATAATGAACACTCACGTAGAACTGTGAGGCTCATAGGACACTTCCAAATGCATTACTTGATTAACTCCTAACTCTATGCAAGGGCTCACAGCTTAATCCAGGATTTTTTTAAGCTTCAAAGTTCATTTGTTTTCAATATATGAACTGTTTCCCCAGTCCTTTTATCGATCAGTTAGCCTCTGGCTACTTTTCTGGAGCATTTCCCTGGGTTTCTGATTTTTTACCAACTGCTGACTCCTCCATTACAATCTGTTCTTTGGCTGATACCTCCTTTTAAACTCTTGGTATAAGTTAAATTCCCCTAAAGTTAGTCTTGACCTTGTTAAGTGACTCACGCCTGCCAGTGCTCCAGTGACTTTTTCAATGGGAAACAAAGCACCATGAGCATAGGACTAAAAATCTCCATCATGACTGGTGTTCTCTTGTCTCTTTCTGGAAGCAGAATGGAGGGTACCAGGTGAGGCTAAATGACTGACAATTCTACCTCATTAAAATCTGAAGAAAGAGCCAGGTGGTGGTGCATGCTTTTAATCCTAGCAGAAGCAGAGGCAGGCAGATCTCTGTGAGTTCAAGGTCAGCCTGGCCTACAAAGTGAATTACAGGACAGCCAGAGCTGTTACACAGAGAAACCCTGTCTCAGAAAGAAAATCTGAAGGAAGAAGCTGCACTGAGAAAAGATTGGACAAATACAGTCAATGCTGCCCCAAAGCTTCTGATCAGGAACACATGCATTAGAGGGCAGAGTGGGTACCAAGTGATAGATGCCAGAATCAGGTCTCATGCCATGAGACTGATAGGGATATGTGTAAGACAAAGGAAAAAAATACATTAGACAGAGGGTTACATAATTATGAAAATCAGTAGTCTAAGTTGTGTAGGCTGCTATAAGTATAATCATGAAGGATTCAAATGATTCAGATTTATTTCCAGTAAGCAAATCCATAATTCATTAACCATAGAACTGACACAGGTTGCTATTTCTTTAAGTTTTACTTTTTTCTCTTTTTTCTGAGACAGGTTTCTTTGTGTAGCCCTGGCTGTCTTGGAACTCTGTAGACCAGGCTAGCATTGAACTCACAGACATCTATCTGCCTCTGCCTTCCCAGTACTGGGATTAAAGGTATGCACCACTGCCTGCTAGGTTTCACATATTTTTAGCCAATTACGATTTACTTATTTTTTATTCTTTTGTATCTCTAGGTGTTCTGCATGTACGCCTGTGTACCATATGCAGACAATGCCCTCAGAAGCTGGAAGGGCATTGGATTCCCTGGGACTAAAGTTGCAGATGGATGTGAAGCACCATGTGAGCGCTGGGGATGAAACCCAGGTCCTCTGGAAGAATGGTCAGTGCTCTTAACCACTGATCCATTTCTCCAGCCTAATAGTTTATTTTCTCGTGAATTTCCGAACAACATCTTAAGTGTCACACGTATGTCAGAACATGGAAAGCCAATCCTGCCACAAACACATACATACTTCTTGTGGATGGCTCACTCTTGAGCTGGAAGAGCTGAGCTTCCACTTTGGAGAGCTGGTGCTGCAGGGTCTCCACGGTCTTTCTGTGCTCGTCCTGCAAATGTCGGACTTGGTCTCGGAAGCTGTTACGGAGTGCTTCATTCTGGGCTGTCAGTTGGCACACTGTCTGGGCGTGTTCAGACTTCATCACAGTGTTCTCGGATTGAACTGAACACAACCTAAAGGAGAGAGTTTAGTTCATGAGGTCATTGAACTACCCGTGCTCATCCAGCCTCTTCAGCTGGATTCTCCAAGGGAAGCCCTGGGTCATCTACAGAATGTGCAAAGCAACTTCTTCATCTCAGAGAGGGTATTGGCTGCATCACCATCTACATCACTAATCAGCTGTTATCTGTTCTAAACCATTTCCTGTGCTCCACAGAGAGACTGTCATGTGCCTCAATAAAAGTAAGAGGCTTGCTTCACGGTTCACTGAAAAATAGAGGACTTTTTTTTTTCCATAAAAACTGATGAAATTTTGAGCCTCAACTGGTAGAGTGCTTGCTTACCTAGCATGCAAGAAGCCCTGGGTTCAGTTCCCAGAACCATATGAACTGGATATATTGGTATAAGCCTGTAACCTCAACACATGGGAGCTGGAGGCAGGATCAGAAATTTGAAGTCACCTTTATCTACAAAATGAGTAGATGAGACTAGCATTGGGTACAGAAAATCCTGTTACACAATTAAAGACACGCACACATACACAGAGTTATCCTACTCCTTCATGTTACTTTATGTGGGTAGCTCATATAAACATAAGATTAATCTAGTCTAAGTTACCTTGAACATGTGAAAAAGAATACTTTTCATAAAGACAGTTTTTGAGTGAATTAACATGAAACACTCAGGCCTCAGAATTGTTAGATTACCTTGTAAAACATAAATAAACATCTAGCTTTCATACTACAGCTGCTGACTCTTTAGCAGTGGTCCTGGGAATTAGCTGCTATCAGCAGCTCTCCACAGAGTTTTACAGTTGGGCTGACACCAGCCAGCAAACCCACAATCTGGAAGCAACTACTTTTATTTATTTAGTTTCTGCTTTTTATGATTATTGTGTGTGAGTGAACGATGGCTGTATTATGGCACGCATATGGCAGTTAGAGGGCAATTCTGTAGAGTCAGTTCTCTCCTTTCACTCTTACCTGGGCTCCAGGGACTGCATTCCTGTCACCAGGCTTACACAACAAGTGTCTATTTGTTGAGCCATTTCAGCAGCCTGAGCAGCTACATTTCAACAGTTTATTTGTGCCCTTGTTATTTTATGTTTGGTTTTTGCAAATCTCAACCAGGAAATACACAAAATTTCCAGAATTATTTGCTTATAAAAATTAGAAGCAATTAAAAACAGAATGAAAGCTACCCTCTCCTGATTCTCATGCCTACTGTCTCAAACCTGAGTCCAAGGCAAATTGAACATACTAAACTATTGGGAATATACTGCAATACGATTTTTTTTCTGTTATAAATACGTACACCATACTAAGTTGTAACAGATTTAGTGTTTAATGGCAAAAAAAAAAAATCATCGTTTTTTTTTTTTTAAAGACAGAGTCTTACCAAAACAAACAAACAAACAAAAAAGCCAGATAGAATCTTACTATGTAGTTCAGACTAGACTTAAGCTTGTTATGTAGCCTAGGTCTTGAACTTGAATGTTGAGATTACAAGTGTATGCTACCGTACCTGGCTTTAGAAAAAGGTTATCTTAATTACCAAATACATAGTGACTAATAAGATACTCTATATAGTGTTTTCTAAGCATTTTGTTTATAATAGTTACCAGGAATGTTAAGGAGGAACCATTTTCTGAGGGCCGGGGGATACAGTTCAGTGGCACAGCACTTGCTTGTGTTCAATCTGTAGCATCACACACACACACACACACACACACACAAAGTACATTATAGTGATAGGGTAAGGCTTCTAGCCTTCAGATGTTATCATGTTCTGAATTTACTAGTAAGCTAGCTGCTTGCAATCTCCTGACATGGAACTGCAATACCTGTCCTGACAAAAGCTTATTATTCTGTCCCCATTGTGACTTGGGTGTTCATATTAGTTGGGATCTGTAAGTTATACAGACATTAACTGGTTGGCATAATTAGTGAATAGTGACTTTAATGCTTTCTTATGGAGAAACACTTTTTTAATTTGACACTTGGCTTGGAAACTTTTTTAAAAGAAATTTCCTGATTAAAAGGCTGTAAGAGCCGGGCGTTGGTGGCACACGCCTTTAATCCCAGCACTCGGGAGGCAGAGGCAGGCGGATCTCTGTGAGTTTGAGGTCAGCCTGGTCTCCAGAGCGAGTGCCAGGATAGGCTCCAAAGCTACACAGAGAAACCCTGTCTCCAAAAAACCAAAAAAAAAAAGAAAAAAAGGCTGTAAGAGAATTTTAGCTGTTCTAAAAAAATGCTAAACATAAAAACAGTCTGAAGGGGAAGCTTGGCGGTAGGTCAGGCAAACTGACCAAGCCTCTGTAAGCACCTACTCCTTACTGACATCCCAGAGAGGAGCATAGTATACCAGGCTGCTTGCCTGGACCAACAGTTGTTGGTGGCAGCCTTACTTTTCCCGAAGTTCTGCCTCTTTGGTCACAGTCTCCTGCAGCATCCGGTTGTGCCTCTCCAACAGAGTGTCATGCTCAGACTGCAGTGTCTGGAGTTCTGATACATTGATTTGTAAACTATTTTGGCTATCCTGTAACTTGATTTTCAGTTGGTCAATCAGCATTTCCAGGTGTTCCCTACAAGAGAAACAAATAGTTTAACAATGTTTATGAAAGCCCTCATTTTGGGGCTTCAAATATATTTGCTGTTTCAGTGTCATACTCTTTGTTACTGTGGAAGATTCTGAAGAAAATATAATCAATTAAAATAATTTTTTTTTTTTTCCCTGAGATAGGGTTTCTCTCTGTATTGCTTTGGAGCCTATCCTGGAACTCACTCTGTAGACTAGGCTGGCCTCAAACTCACAGAGATCCGCCTGCCTCTGCCTCCAGAGTGCTGGGACTAAAGGCATGCACCACCAACTGCCCAGCTGGAAGGAACTTAACTATTTTGAACCAAAGATTCAGGTATGTTCAAATGGTTTTTACAAATGATATTTACTAAGTGTTTCAATATGTTATCATAAGCAGGTATAAAAACTATAAATAACCAACCTCTACTACAAAAATCAAAATATTATGGTAAAAAAAAAAAAAGCAAAAAACAGATGGGCATTGGTGGCGAAAACCTTTAGTCCCAGCACTCGGGACGCAGAGGCAGGGGGGTCTCTGTGAGTTTGAGGCCAGTCTGGTCTACAGATCCAGTTCCAGTACAGGCTCCAAAACAATACAGAGAAACCCTGTCTCGAAAAAACAAAAAGCAACAACAACAACAACAACAACAACAACAAAAAAACCCAAATCAAAACATAGATGTCACAGGTTGTCTTAACCCTCTCCTCTTCACTCATCTCTTTTTGAGACAGGGTCTTACTATGTAGCTTTGGCTAGACTGGAACTCACTATGTAGACCAGACTGGCCTTGAACTCTCAGAGCTCTCTCTGCCTACCTCTGCCTGCTAAGTGCTAGGATTAAAAGGTATGCACGACCACACCCAGCCCATCTCCTTTTTTACTGTTATATTTTTAAACAATTTACAAAGTGGATCTGGATGCTAATTTTAAATTAGCATTAAGGTACTATTCAAATCAAATGGAGGTGGTCAGAAAACTGTAATGTACATTTAATTTTAATGACTTCACGTTTACTATGTCCAGGTATTATTAAGACAAGATTTCATAGCTCAGAGACCACATTCTGGCTTCACTGTTGACTTTAACATCCTTTAGAGTTTGCAATAGAGTCTGCAATTGGTGCATAATTTCCTAATTATCAACAAATATGGTGACACCAAGAAATTCTCTGTTCGATGGGTAATCACACCTAAAGTTCCAGTCAAAAGCAATGCAAATGAGACTTTCTTTTTTTTTTTTTTTTTCTTCCGGTTTTTGATACAGGGTTTCTCTGTGTAGCTTTGGAGCCTATCCTGGCACTCGCTCTGGAGACCAAGCTGGCCTCAAACTCACAGAGGCCCGCCTGCCTCTGCCTCCCGAGTGCTGGGATTAAAGGTGTGCGCCACCAATGCCCAGCTTGCATATGAGACTTTTAACCAACCTGGGAACAACCTGTTTGTATGAGGAAAACCTTAGACTTTACCTTTCTTGTTTAGCTCCCTCAGTTTCCGCCTGAGACACAGATTTATTTTTCTGCTGTTTTAGAACGTTATGAACTCGGACTTTGTAGCTCTCAAATTCAGAGGTGACAGCAGCTTGTTCTGCCTATAACATTTAAGAGAGAGAAAACTGTCACTATGACATGATCCTTCTCTGTCCTTTCAGAGGCTGATGAAATGAAGTAAAAAATTCTGTTTGTGAAAATGAAGAAAACAGCTTTATCCATTTTAGCCTTGATTAACTCTACTAGAAAGTGAGTTCTAGGGATGGGTATGCTAGCGCAACCCTGCAATCTCAGCACTCAGGAGGTGGAGGCAGGAGGACTGTTATGAATTCGAGGCCAGCCTGGTCTATACTCTGAGTTCCAGGTCAGTATGGGATATAGAACAAGTCCCTGTCTCATAAAACTAACAACAAACAAAACCTCCAAATACTAGACTTAATCAAAACAGAACCCAGTCCTGTTGGCCTGACCCTTTTAAAACTGCTAACTTCATGCTTCTACTACAGTAGACTAACTTATTACTCACAAATTTTATAACGACACTGTTTTCATTCATTACTTTATAATTTTTAACTTATATGTTCTCTTCTCTCCTCTCCCTCTGTCTGTCTGTCTGTCTGTCTGTCTGTCTGGTTTTTCGAGACAAAGTTTTCTGTTATAACAATTCTGGCTACTTGGAACTCACTTTTTTAGACCAGGCTGGCCTGGAACTCACAGAAATCCACCTGCCTTTGCCTCCCAAGTGCTAGGATTAAAGGCGTGAGTTACCACCTCCTGGCCATGTTCTTTTTATAAATAGGAAAAACTGATTCTCAAACACATGATTCACTTGAACTTCACTTTTAGTACACAGTAGTGAGAGTTAAACTGTGTGTTTCTGAAGTGATCTTTAGACTCCCACACTCCTGCCATGGTCATTTAGGGTAAAAGAGAGAATTCTAACAAACCCACAGTAAGTAATTAAATGCTTTGTATGCTGAAATCAGGGAAGTTGACCCGATAGTCATTCTATTAGAATGTCACAATTATTTAAACCTCAGAAAAAACTGCAGTGCTTTCCCTAAGTTTTTTGTTTTTCTTTTTAATAAATATGACATTTTTTTATTGTTGTTTTTTTTTGAGACAGGGTTTCTCTGTGTAGAAATATGACATTTTTACACATATAAATTACAAAACATAAATGAAAGGTAAGTGTACTCATGTTTTTACTTTCTGAAAAAAAAAATATTGTTAAGAGCCGAGAGATGGCTAACAGTTAAAAATACTAGCTGTGCAAGCCTGAAAAACCTGAGTTTGAACCCTGAAACCCATGTTTAAAAATAGCCAGATCAGAAAATATACATTTCCCATCCCTGTGCTCAGATGGCAAATCAGGAGACAGAGACCGGGGAAGCGCATGGGGCCAGCTGGCCTGGAGTACAACGTGCAGCAGCAGAAACAAGACAGACATTGTCTCAATAAGGGACGGAACCATCTCCTAAATATTGACCCCTGACCTCCACATACATGGTGGTATGTGTGTGCTCACACTCACCCCCCCCCACACCCAAAGATGTGAGAGTGTCCATGCTGTTGTTTAGAGCATCTGGCTAAGTGCTCTTAATTGCAGAACACTGCTAAGTGAATGTGGCCCTGCAGTAAGAATCCCAGTGGTGGTTTTGGTCCTGGAGGACACACCTTGGCAGTACGACTCTCTTCCTGAAGTGCCGCCACCCTCTGCTGGTATGCGCTCAGTGTGCGCTGGTGCTGCTCTGCAGAAGTCTTCAGGTGCTCATGGATTTTGTGTTTCTCAGATGTTATCTCAGCCAGTTGAATCTGGGGAGACAGATTAAATGGCACAACTAAATAGTGGTTTTCAGGCATTACAATATCTTTAAAAAAAGAGACAGCATGAATAATGCTTTCTCAATCTCAGCTTGATTTATTTTTCTCTTAAACTAGTATCTGCACAATTAAAGACTATATACGTAATGTTTAATTAAACACCATTAGACATTATACATTAAAAAAAACCAAATATTTGACCACCTCATATATTGCTTTTTAAAATTGTATTTTTCAGTCAGAAGATTCAGATGAAGTTTTTGGCCATGTTTATTTTATTTTATTTTTTTTTACAGGTTCATCTTTTTATTAGACACGTTAACAAGAGGCTTAGTTAAAAAGACCAAAGCCCATGTCATCATCAGACTCCATATTCTTCCTTCTTGGCTTCCACTTTCTTCTCCTCAGCTGGGGCAGCACGGTGGAGGGTGAAGGACCACCTGCTGGCACGGCTCCAGCTATTGGAGCAGGTCCACCAGCCCCTACATTGCAGATGAGGCTCCCAATGTTGACAATGGCCAAGGCCTTTGCAGACTGGCCAGGCCAGAAAGGTTCAACATTGACACCGGCTGCTTTAATGAGGGCATGTTTCAGACCGCGGGCAAGGTGCTAGTCACCAGATGAAGTGAGGGCCTCACCCCAACTTGGCCTTAGCTTCTTCGGAAGAACCACGTACCTTGGCGGCAGCTGAGGAAAGGGTCTGGCCATGTTTATTTTATATTCACTATTCTAGACTATTACAAACTCTCAAATACATGATAGTCATTTAGCACGGCTTCTGCTTCCTCAAAATGTTGAGTAATCTTTCTAAGTATCCCTAAAGGGTAACTTCTTATCTAATAGAAAAATTTCTAACAGGTAATTTTTCTTTTAAAACAAAGTTACTATTTTTTTATGTGTACAGATGTTTTACCTATATGTACCACATGTGTGCCTGATGACCATAAGGCCAGCACAAGACATCAGATTCCCTGGGGCAGAGTGGGAGAGGGGGTCCAGATGGTTGTGAGCCACCATGTGGATGCTGGGAATTGAACCTGGGTCCCCTGAAAGAACAGCCAGTACCCTGAACTGCTGAAGCAGCTCTCCAGCCCATCTATATGGCACTTTATTTCTACATGGAAAAAACTTTTCAAAAGTTAAAAATCTTACTTTATAGACTTCTACTTGCTGTTGGCTTGCTTCCAGCTCACCCTTTAAAGATGCTTGGAGTAGTAAGTGATCAGCTTCCTATAGAATGAGAATCCTGGTTAAATTAAACAATAAAGTAATTCACAACTGTAAGAACTAAAATATGGTAGTGAGAAATTAACATACTGCTTGCTTTGAATCTGCCAGTTCCTTTTTGGTTTTCACAAGGAGCTGTTTGATTTTGGTGTTTTTTTCTTCAGAGTGCTGTACTGAAGTCTGCAGGGAAGCTAGTTCAGGAAGTAATTTCAGCAGAAAGAAAATAAAGAGATTTTTACTAGTGAACATGACACACAAGTGACAATTTTTTTCTTCTTACTAACTTAGAAGAAATTAATTTTATCTCTTCACGAAGGGTTTTTCAAACATATCTGACAATGCCAATCACCCACCTCAAACACTTACCAGCACACCCTGACAGGTTCATCAAAACGCAGCTCACTGGCTACTTTCTGAATATGGGTTAAACAGAGCACACTTAGGCTCCTTCAGTCACATGTGGCCTGCAGTTTCATTAGCCCACCACACCGGTGTCCTAAGGAACCACCACAGGGACTATGTAGCCTTATGCCAAAATATTTACTACTTGGCCCGTTACAAAAATGTGCAAACCTTTGATCTGGATTATTTTAAAGCAAATCAGTTTATTTGTAAATATTTAAGTATATGTAGCTTAAATAAAAGCATACTAATATTTAGTGTATATCTGCCAGTAGTACTTTTTAAAAGTACTTCAAAAAAGCTAGGAGTAATAGTGCCAGCCTATAATCCCAGCAATTGGGAGGCAGATGCAAGATCATGAGTTTGAGCAAACCTAATATATATAAGACCCTGTCTCAGAAAACAACCAAAATGAAATACAGTTGTATCACACAGAAGGCACATAAGTGGGCATTTGCTTCTGTGATAGCAAGTCAGAGGCAAGAACATTTTTGTAGGATGACTGTTAATGAAAGAGTGTTCACTAAGGCACAGATCAAAATATAATGAAGGCAAAAAACAAGAAGAAAAGACAAATGTTCAAAGGTTATTCAAATTTAACAGGAATGAGGGAAGTTTCACAGGATGAGAAGCACTTAGGACTAGAAGGACTGCATGGGTATTCCAGCGGGGGCAGGAAAGGGAGAAGTACAGAAAGGAGTGCATAGCTGTGGTAAAATCACACGCACAGTAAAACATACTGCCCGTTATCTGAGAGAGAGTATGAACAAGCACCCATGTGGCTGCACCCCATCCCCTTTAGAAGACTTCTGAGGTTTCCTTCTTTACCATAACTCTTCAGCCCAACCTTCTGTGATCTGTATTATTATGGCATATTTTCCCAGCTTCTGATCATGTTGCTATCTGTCTTCTGGTTTCTATGATGCTCTGTGACACTCATGGAGAGTACAAAGGGACACAGGAAGCTCTGCAGGTGTTGACCTTTTTTCTGATTTCGCTGTGTGGTTTTCCCTTAGCATCTCCTTTTCTACTGCTGCCTCTTCACTTACATATCTCAAGTCTTAGTGCACGGTAGTCACTTCACAGGACTTCATGGAAATTCGGCTTCTGGCCATGAGGGAGTAACAGCGTCTAGACTTCAAACTCTGTGACAACATTTAAGCAACTGACTAACAACACCACCTTTCCCACCCAGACATTTGAAGAACAGACAGTGGAGGACTGAGACGGCAAACAGAGAAGGTGAGCTATGCTTCCCATCCTGGTTTTGTGCACGGGAACAACTTGTACAATGTGATACAAGAGTGGGAATCTAAACAGCTGTTGCTCTTGCTGAGATGAGACTAATGGCAAGGAAAAGAACAAAGAGTAGTGTTGTAATGCCAACACTTTAGATTTCACATAGGGCTACGATCATTCTCTAGCTAACAGCCAGAGTAAAGAAACTCCTTTGTGAACGCACAGGGATTCAGGAAGAGAATAGGACACACAGCTAGGAGAAAAGAAATGGATAGAAACAGACCCATATTTTACAGAGGTGATGGAATTAGCAAGCACAGACATAAAACAGGTATTAAATAAATTCATAGATTTAAAGGGAAATATTAACATAATAGAAAATCTTTGAACTAAACAGATGAACTAAACAGAACTTCTAGAGCTAAAAATGGCACTCAGTATCTCAAGTGAATTTTTCACTACATGAGATTAAAGATTAGATACTTCATATTCTAATCAGATCAGTGAATATGAAGACAGTAATAGAAACTTCCAGAAATTCCATTCTATGAAGTAACATTCACTACTCAAAGGTAATCAATGATAAACTCAAGATGTAAATAAACTAAAACTCTAAGTTACCAAAATCAAAGTACAGCAAATTAGTAAAAGGGGTAAAATGTTGCAAAAGTAATTTTTAAAAAAGAAAAAAGCAGCCTGGTGTAGGTGGCACACGCCTTTAATCCCAGCACTCAGGAGGCAGAGGCAGGCGGACCTCTGCGAGTGCCAGGATAGGCTCCAAAGCTACACAGAGAAACCCTGTCTCGAAAAACAAAACAAAACAAAACAACAACAACAACAAAAAGTTTAAAAAAGAAAAAGCAAACAGAGAATAAGACAAGGACCATTACAAGGTACAGACTTTGTAGGCAATCACTCTAAGACTGGTTCAAACATTAAAACAGCAGAGACTTAGTTTGCTATTTAAAAGGTCATGGGGAGTTGGAACAATGTTCAATGGTTAGGGTACAGACTGCTTTTTCAGAGGACTGGAGTTGGGTCCATAACTGCCTGTAACCCCAGTCTCCAGGGATTTGACTCCTCTACCCACTGTGGGCACCTACACTCACGTGCTTGTATCCATATACAGGCAGGCAGGCAGGTAGGCGCAGGAAGGCAGGCTGGCTGATTTGTATGAATAAATGAATCATGCTGCTTCCTATCATGTTAAGAGGCAGTTATAAAGTAAAATTAATTGTTTTACTCACTCATTTCTTCTTGTAGGTTTTCTTGCTTCTGTTTTTGAATTTTTATTTCTTGCTCCAAATCTTCTATCTTACTGTTTTTATTTGTTAACTTCTGATTTAATTCTTTCATCAAACGTTCGTAATCTGCTATTTCCATATTCATCAATGTGGTTTGTTGGGCATCCTGCACATTTTATGAAAGACTTACATATTACTAGGGCAGCTAATCTGAAACTGATAAAAGAATAAGCAAGTTTTATTACATTTTTCTGTAGTTTAGACATAATGTAAGTAATGAGGAAATGAGAAGCCCAACAGTTTGTAGTTCTGCTGTCATCAAGCAGTTTCTACAAGTTTAAAACTCAACTTTTTGAACTCCATTTTACTTGACTAACTTTAATCATAATTAGTAGTGTTCTAGTCTTAGGGAGTTCTCATTTATGAAAGATTAATATTTTAGGTAACATAACACCTTTTACAGAATATTTGAAAAGTAGAGAGAAATTAATTAAATCTACATGTGTTATACAGCAATTACACATGAGCCTAGGTTCTTCTGAACAGACAACTGTTTCAATTTACTGAGGCTAACAATTTATAAAGGATTATTTCAGTATTATAACCAATACTTAAAATATTTTTCCTGTGTACAGAACTGTAATTGTAGAGCTATGTTGTTCTATGAACACCTCTTTGTGAGGTGCTGGGAATCAAACCCAGGGCTTTAGAGATGCTAGGAGGGCATTCTGTCACTGAGCTCTCTCTCTCTGGAGGCTATTTTTGTACCTTTTTAACCAGCTCTAGTTCTTGCATGGTTTTCTGAAGCTGCTTCTTTTCCTTTTCAAATTGAAGTTGGAGTCCTTCAAGCTCATTTACAGTACTGACATGTTCCTAAAATTAAAGAACCCGCAGCACAATCAACATTTGTTAGAAGGTATAAAATACATACCATGCACAAAAACACAAGATGTTTGGCAATGTTTCAAAACTTTAAAATCTATATGCTCAGAAAGATCATAGCTTAGGACAGATTCTATAATGTAGAGTTGGTATACATTAAGGAATTTATAAAGGTACATAAATGTACCCATTAAAGACTCTTCATACAAGTAATATGTGATTAAAATGCCACTGTATACATGGGAACAAGTCTCAGGGCTATTTTTACCTTTATCTTCTGCTCTTTCTGAAGTTTTTCAGCTTCCAGTTCTTTATCTACTATTCCTTTGGCTTTCTGGACTTCTAAAATCTGTGCTTCTAACAACTTGGCATTAGACTGCAGTGTCTCAATACGAGCCAGGAGATCCTCGTTGTCTGAATTTAGCTTTTCACACTAGAATACAAATAACTCATTACTGTGAGTACATAGTAAATAAACATCTACAGATGAAATGCTGAATGAGAACGTTAGCACAGTATGAAAAGTGATTTCATAATGGACCCCATAGAATGACTGGTAAGTCAAGAATAGAATTAAAAACAACACTGCTGATATTGAGCTGGCAAACCTTACAAGCCAGAAAGCTTCTAAGCCTTCTACGGCGTGAAAAGCAGAAATAGAAAACCCAAACCCCAAACCAGGTTAACTGAAGCGAGCTGAAGTCTTCAAGCTCATGTACAGCAGTGACATGCTCCTAAAATTAACAACCACCTCCACAACTCAATAGTAAGAAAGGCTTAAGCAAAACAGGGCATGTTAGCTATTTAGTCACATTCTTCTCCAAACACAGAAAAGTGACAGAGAAAGAATTTCTGCTTCTGACTAGAGTTTAACTTTTTATGCAAGAGAAAAATGAGTTTAAAATATATTTACTATAATTTGCTTGTCTAAATTTATCTGATTCGAAATTACCTGACAAGTTGAATTTCTTAATTGTTTGGTAAGGTCTTCTATGTGATGTTCAAAATTATTAGCACGTTCTTTTTCCACATCCAGCTGTTCTGACTGCTTATCATATTCTAACAAAAGGTTCTTTAATAAAAAGAAAAGATTTAACTTTATTATGAAGCATTTACTAGGTCAGAACATATAATCAAGACATCTTGATGCCTTAAGAGTACATTTGAGATTCTTAAAATACTGCATATGAAAATATGAAAGTGAAAAGCAGCATGACAAAAGATTAGTACCCTTAATATATAAGATCTTACAAATCCATTAAAAACACAATTACAGTTTAATTATCAGCTTATTCATCTATCATGGGTCAGTTACATTAGGATTTTGCCTCCCCCTCACCCCCAGAATTAAACCAGGTATAAGTTTAATCTTTCAAATTTTTTTTTTTTAACTTTGTGAATTCACAAATTTTTTTTAGGTTCAGAAAAAGTATTTGGGGCCAGAAGTCAGTAAAGGGCTGAGGATTTTATTTTAGATATTAAAAAATGTTTCATACATACAGTATTTTGGTAGGTATAGTATAATAAAGACTGGATAGATTACATTTTTCTCAAATACCTAATTCTTTCTTCACTCATTTCTGTTTGCAAATCTGTGTGGCATATTCTAACTTAGTTGGCAAATGAACAGACTGGGAACAATTGGCAAGATTCCCATTCCGTTATATTACTAGTCTCCTAAGACTGTTAAAACTGTGGCCTTGCGTCTCTGTGCTTCAGATTGCTCACCTGTAAGCTGGTGACAAGATACTTCTCCTGTCCTGGTTCTTCTGAGAAATACACATATAAGACAGGTAAAATGTCTGGAAGACAGCCTGTCCTATGTGCTGGAAACCCTATGCCTTTTGTTAATCTGTCTGAGTCTGACATTAGAATTCTCCTGTTCATCCTCTTTTTCCTAGTCACCTTTCTACCCAGCATCTATCTTGTCCTTTGTCTACCTGTTACTGCTACTAGAATTTAAGACAAGAATTTAGGAAAGTCTCCCGGTCTATCTGGTTGACTAGCATCTGTCCAGAATTGGGAATTTAGCCCATCTACATAATTATTGTTGAATGAATAAATATATGAAGAAATATAATATTTACTTTGCATTTAATGATTTCATTAGATTTGAGAAAAACTGTAAGTCTTGTGTTAGTAAAGCAAACAAGTATATTACCTTAAAGTAATTATGTTCCTACTACTTTCCTGCTAGATCTTTCTGGAGTTTTAGGTATATTCACTTGGCTGTGAAAATATTAAATCACAGCAGCCATCTTTTTCTTACATTTTATTACGAGGAAATCCCCAAATAGATCTTACTTTTAAGAAACAGTAATTTAAAGGCACCATTTAAAGGTTAACTTTGCCAGGTGTGGTGGCACATGCCTTCGTTCCAGCTCTTAGGAGTCAGGTGGATTTCTGTGAGTTTCAGGCCAGTCATGGCTACTTAGTGAATCCCTGTCTAAATACAACAAAAACAAGATACTACCAAAGACCAACCTTTTATGCATACAATACAAAAAAACAAAAAAACAAAAAAACAAAAAAACCCAAAAACAAAAATAGGGACATTTCTATTTCATCAACTAACAAAAAACCATGTATTTTTTGTGTAAGTTTTATAATTCTAGTATACCTATTTGTTATGAATAAGGTCTGTTATTACAGGAACTTTTACCTTATAGTTTTCTGCTCCTTGGATGAACTCCTTCATAGAAGCAGACAGGCGGTCCTTTTCTGACCGGACAGATTCAAGTTCTTCCCTCAGTGTCTGGGCCTGTTGTAAACACAGTGAGTGCTTTTCATGTACAGAAATACTTGATTTCCCATAACACAGGACTCTGAAATCTTATGTGTTTATGTTGGCTTACCTCTTTCTTGTTAGAGTCTAGTTCTTTCTTTGCTTTTACAGCAACTAGTTTTATCTTACTTATTTTCTCATCCTTGTCTTTGGATTCTTTTTCCAGACTTCCTAAAATAGAAAATGAAAGGACTATATATGAAGTCAAAAGGAAAAGTAGTGAGATTACTTATCTTAACCCCCAAAATAATTTTATTCTTGGATACAAAATTTGCAGCTTGAACTTAACATTAGGTAGCTAGAATTTATTTTTGTAAAGAGAAACCTTAATTATTCATTAGCCAAGTGAGGTAAATTATGTCAAACTTTAAGTCCCCGTTAATGGTTCATTTTTACAGAGCCATTTCTTAACTACCTAGGAAGTGGAGTTTTTATGAC